CACACAATGATAGAGTGTGGGTTCGGGTCCACGTGGAAGGAATCTTTTCCTCTCTTTTTTTTCGTCGCCCTAACATTTTTCGTAAGGGGTATTTTCGTAATTTCAATATCCTCTTCGATCGATCATACGGCCTATTCACATTGTTACGTCTTTTATATTATCTCGTATCAATCGGTTCAATTGTATTCCTCCATGTTCCTAAGTTCTTTAGTTACAAGTGTTTTTTTTCCCCATTTTACGGGTTGGCAGTGGCTCATTGATTCAACCAGTTATTTCCTGTTTGATAATGCATACATATAAATAGGATGTCAAACGAACCAGCTCGAACTAACTCATTACGAACCAATTCATTTTCAAACGAACCAGCTCGAACTAACTCGTTCCGAACCAATTCATACCAATTAATATCAACATTTTCAAATTTCGACGTAAAAAACCCTATTTTTTTAAACCAGTTCGCGAGTTGACCAAGCTAGCTCGTTTGGGCTCGGTTCGTGACGAACTGGCTCACTCGACCCATTTTTTATTCGGGTTCAAATATTCTTAGTTCGGCTTGGTAAAAAAGGAGTCAACTTCGAATTGGCTCGCGAGCTCGGCTCGTTTTGACATCTCTACCCTATATATAGATGGCGATTTCAAATTTATTTAGGCCCATTATTTTCGTGTCTATATTTTCCGATTTGATAAAATTATATCTATTTACTCTTCTTTATAAGAATTTGATTGGATTCGAATTTAATTTTTTTTAAAACGATTTATTTTTCATTTTTCTATCTTATTCATTTTTTCGACTATTTTCAAAAATATATTTAAATTATATGAATACCCATTTATTTAATTTAACGATATAAAAATTATATCAACCTAATTTAAATATAAATCCAGTTTAAATATAGTTATACGATTGAATTTAATTTAATTCAATTCAATTTTATATATGCCAAATGAAATGATCTATCTATACCCGTATGTATGCATGTGAAATGTGGATTTATAATTTTAAACTAATTATTTGCAAAATTATGTAAAATTAGTTGGCTCCGTGAAGTTTAAACACATTATAATTATTATTTTTTTCTTTCACATGTTCCTAAGAACTAGAGATCATATAAAATACCCAAAACTTTGGTTGTACGTCCACGCACATATATGTATATATATATACACACACATTATTAATCATGTAATACAAGTATGTATACAGACGGTACGTAGTATACTCACGCATTATGCGAATAAATAAAAAAACCATTCGATATTTAATAACACGTCTAGATGCGAGGCATTGGTTATATTATATATTCTCGCACTTACCAAATATATATAAAATTATGTATGATTAATTAATAACAATTAATTTAATAATTAAAGGAAATAATTAATTTAATAATGAAGGGCGATAATAATTGTTATTTGAGTAATAAGGGGCAACCTACAAAATAATGTAGATATTAAAAGAGAACGATTAATTGGATATATGATGAAAGACTATTTAGCTTTCCAGATTTGTTTCAAAGTATAACTATATTTTCTAACATTTTTATTTATCAATCGAAATGATAAAAATAATAATTTAATATTATAGAAAAAATATTCTTAGAAATATAATAGAAGATTTTTCTTTTATCTAAAAATAAATATTTTGATGAAATATAAATTATATATTAAATAACTTTTAATGTCGTATATAAAATAAATATATATCGATTGTTTATAAATTTTCATGTGAATACAATTATAAACCACTAAAATAAATAATAGTTCTAAGCTGCGGTAGTTAAATAAACCAACTTATAAATAATTTACTTAGATTGCAGCGATCAGGTAATATAAAGAAATAATATTATTACATACCATTTTCTATAAAAAAAAATATTTTATTTCCATCTCATTCCTAAAGCGATAATCCAAGTGTAAGAAAAATCTGCGTATCGTGGTGAGGTTGAATTCCATATTGAATTCTTAATGATTCCTACACCTTAAATAAGGTAGAGTATAGCAGAATAGACTTGGTCCAGTTTTCTATCAATTCGTGTGTTCATCACTTTTATTCAATGATTCTAGCCCAATCAATCTCTTCTTTTCCTTCGGGGAAAAAAATATTGTAGAAAATTTATTTTATATATTTACTTGATAAATAACTAAATGTCTTATTGAAAAAGAAGGAAACTTAATAAATATATATATATATATATATATATTTTTCATGAAATGGAAAGCATTTTGATAAGAGTGGTACCAAGTGGAGGGAGTAGCATTATATTATTATCTCAATATGTTAAAATGATATTTCTCCAATCATTTTCCACTCTCTTTTACATCCCTATTTTCCTTTTCCAAAGACTCATTCCTTTTATCTTTATTTTTAATTATTATTCTTTTATTTCCCACCGGCGGGATTCCTCATCTTTTTCTTTTTCTACAAATGTTTGCATTATGCTTTTTTTTTCTTTTTCTTTTTTTGGGTCGATGATGATTTTGGTCCAAATAGTAACATTTATTTAATTTTAATCGGCAAAAATTGACGGTATCTATTATTTTTTTTTCAGGGAGAATTCTTTTGTTTGTCAAGATCGAAAAAATAAAGTTGTAATCTATAAACCCTTACTTGCTAGAGAATCAATGAGTTATTAAAAAAAATTATTACAATATAATACAAATATTCGAGGAGTGCATTAAGCAGTTTCGGAATCTTCTTATACGCGTCGGTCCATTTAATTAAACCTAAATACGTGGGAAAACAATGGGTTATACTTATACATAAATATTATTGGTGTGGTGATATATTATATATTATAATAATAAATAACGAACGCTCTTCGTTATACCCTTTTTTTTTATTGCCTTCTTTTATTAAAAACAAAATGAATAACTATTTGTTATTTTTTTTAAGTAATCCAAGAAGTTTATGCAATTTTGTGCCTTTCAGCGATAACTTAACTTTTCATCCGATATGATAAAGGTCAACATTTTGTGGGGAAACACAACATAAATATAAAACTCTTCAAACTAAATTTGTCTTGCACATTAAAATAACGAAATGGTTTATAAATATGAACAACAAATGGTATTTTTCCTCTCGATCCAAAATACAATCAACACATAAAATGCACCGATCAATATATATATATCGAATTTTCATATTTTAAGAAAGCAGCTTCAACCTATTTACTATTTACCATAATCGAAAGAATTTTATATTCTTCAAACTAAATTTGTCTTGCACATTAAAATAACGAAATGGTTTATAAATATGAACAACAAATGGTATTTTTCCTCTCGATCCAAAATACAATCAACACATAAAATGCACCGATCAATATATATATATCGAATTTTCATATTTTAAGAAAGCAGCTTCAACCTATTTACTATTTACCATAATCGAAAGAATTTTATATTGTTTATAATAAAGATTATTAAAATTAATTGTCATGAGATAGAATAAAAAACTAAGTGATGATATTGACAACTACCACCCAATGGTGTAGGTCCCAAATTTTATTAGGTGTGTCGGAAGAGATTGGGTTGCCGTTGGATGACCTTCGTCTCCTCCCAACAAAATGGGGGCAAATTTCATCAATACTATTAGGTTGAAATTTTGGGTATTACACGAACACCACAAAAAAAAATATATTTTTTTTAATTATATTCCCCAAAATTCCATTTCCCATAAAAAAAGTTTGATTTACCTTCATGCGCAATGATTCGTTTCGAAAGATAGATGAACAAAGATTATGTTAAAAAAATATAGACGTGATAATATGGTAATAAAGAATGTTTGTAACAAAGAAAAAGATACTAACTAATGCAAGTTACATTTTGTTCTTTCATCCAATTGTGTAATTTTACAGCGAAAAGCGAAAAAAAAAAAACAAAGGAAAAGTATTATAATCTCTTATGCGAAAACATTATTGTTAATGTCCACCGGCGAACATGTTTTGTTCAACACCGTCTCGAACCCACCTGTCTCATTGTCTCCTTCTTCTTCATCTTCTTCCTTATCTCCTTCTTCGTCTCCCATCTTGTGCTTGTCTGGCTCGTCAATGGTTTCTTGCGGTAAAAGTAACAGTTGCTGTGGAGCCGCCATTAGAGGCAATGTCGGATTTGTGTTCTTCTCTTTGTGTATGGCTTCGAGTTGGTGAAAATATGGGCAAGTCTTGGAATCCACAGGTCGTTTCTTGTTGCTCTCTTTCACTTTCTTGAAGTACTTGTTGATGTTCTCCCACTTCTCTTTGCATCTTTTGGCGCTTCGACTGTATCCGAGGCTTTGCATTCCGGTCGAGATTTCTTCCCACAGTGAACCCTTCGTTCCATTTTCTTGATAGTTGGCCTCGACGTTCGTCCTTAGCCTTATCAAGGCTTCAACCTCATCTCTTGGCCATCTCGAAGAACTCAGAGATAACATATAGCTTGAATCGCTATTGCTCGTCTTGCTTGCTGCTTCCACTATCCTTGTTTCATGTTTTTGGTCATTTAGAAATGCTATTGAATGGTCTTCCCGAGTTTGTTGTTGCGTATGGTTCTGCTTCTGTAGCTGCTGCTGTTGTTGTTGCTGTCCGGACACTTTTTGTAAGAAGGAAATTATGGCTGTATCTTTAGCTGCGGAAGCAGATCTCTCGTGGGCAATTATTTCGTATTCTCTGTTGATTCTCGCCGTTTCTTGGACCCTCCATGCTTGCTCTCTCTCGATTCTCTCCTTCTCGCGCTTCTCCAATGTCTCCAAGAACCTCTTCTGCATTTCCTCTTGCTTCTCCATCAAATCATTCGTCAACCTCTTGAGTAATCCCTTCCAGTATCTCCTCCTCTTCCTCGGCCTCTTCCCCTCCTCCTCCTCCTCCTCCTCCTCCTCGGAAGCGGTAGAAGAAGACGTCGAGCTCGAGAAAAGATTTAAGGACGGAACATTTCTTGCGAAATTATAAGGGTTCGTTAATTTATGACCAGAACCAAGTA